AAAAAATTTGTCGTACGACAAACGTAATACCGGCCTGACACGTAAGCTCGTACGTCGAGAAAAATTATGAGACGTTCGAGCGCGGATACGTAGACCGAGGATTAACGCATTTTCGGTATTGGTTTCCACCGTGGTCCACGGACGGCGACGGGAATTCGGAGGCCGGCTGTCACGAGCGCGATTGCCGCCCCTCCGTCCCCTCCCTCCCACCCCCCCCCCCCATTCGAGATGCAACAGAAAATCGCATACGTACCTTGCAAGCGGCGGACGGATCCCGCAGACGCGGAACAGGGAGTTGCAGTTAAGAATTTATGCGGTCGGCGCGTCACCGACGTCTCGCCCGACCCGTATCCTCTCATACATTGCGGCTCTCGCGAGAGATGAGGAGAGGCCAGACGCTAGTAAACTCGGTCGTGTTGAATCGGTGCCAAGGCTCGAATTTTCAGGAATCCTCGGGCATGCACGAGCGGGGAAAACGCATATGTCTGCGTGGAACTTTAAATAAAATTGCGCGCCCGATCGTAGGACGATCGGCGTGCTCTCGATCGAGAGTCGTCCCGCGTGTCCGTGCGCGATCACGCGTCCCGATCCCGGGGTGCTAATCGAACTCCCTAAGCGGATGTATCGTGAGAGAGAAAGAGAGAGAGAGAACCGCGCGAGAGGACGCGGTGACGCGCGCGTGACATAAATCCCGCGTTATTTATTCTCTCTGCTAATGTCTCCGTGAATGTCGGGAACATGTCAGCTTCATGCCTCGCCAATGTCCACGGAACTTTAACTGAAATAGCGGGTCGGAATTTACGGGCGTAACATTCCTGGCGCCCCTGCGTGCACTCCCTAAACATGTATCGCCAGAAATTGGAGGTGCACGCTGAAGCGATAACTGTACGTAATTATGAGGGACGTAAATATCCACCAAAACAGAGGGGAAGGCAGTAGTCTCGTAGTCAGAGGTTTCACCTCGCGGAGATACCCTCGGTGCTTTCCGTTTGCCGACGCGAGTTGACACAAGTATCGTTTTATCCTTGTTGTTCGCCAGCTGTTGAAAAAAGACAGGCTGGCGCCTGTGTCGTCTCGTGTCGCTAAATGGAAAGCAGCAATTATCTTATACGCGACACAAATATGTCGCGCAGCGACGAAAGCCTGATCTACAATATGCTTTTTGCACCTAGAAACATTCGATCTTGTGGCCAACGAACACGTGTAAAAAATTTGCGCGAGGTGATAAATTGTACACTGTACAATCGTGCGTTAGCGACAAATGTTTTAAGCGTTTCAATTTGCTTATATAAAATAGAATGTTGAGCACATTGTAGATCAGGCTGAAGGATACCCGGGAAAAAATGGAAAAAGTCTCATTAGGTATATTTCAATCGTGTAATATCTAATCATATCTCGTGAGAACCAATTCTAAAAATCATCAGTTCTTCAGAAATTTGATACTTTTTTAAAAATGTTCATTACCTATTGAGATCTAACTAAATGTAATTAACTGTCCTAATAGGACATTTAATTAGATTTAGTTAAATCATCTATTGAGACCTAATTAAACGTCCTAATCAATAAAAGCGTCAACCCTCTGAAGGTCCGATGATTTTACAATTGGACATAATTGGATATTACATGATTGAGACATGTATAATGACATATTTCCATTTTTTCCCCGGGTATATTGTACACAGTACAAGATAGAAGATTCCGCAGTAACGTCAGCACTATGTAAATCAGCGCTATGTACTTCATACATTCGCAATGTGAGTGGCACCGGCCATGGAAAACTCCTCGAATATCCGTATTAGTATAAAAAGTATCCGTGGTACAATAATACGTGTACAGGTTGTATTTTTAACCGACGCGACGTCGATCACGAGTGTGGTTCAACAATGAAGAATAACAAGTGCCTGTTAGCATTTGTCTTGCGTCGGTGGACGTACATTTGTTTTGGAGGTACATTTGTACCTCGTGCTGCATACTTTAGGACGTGCACACGGGTAACCTCGTACATACATGCGATGGATAGAATTCGCGACACTTTTTAATGGCTTAAATTACGGCAAACAATGCTGCTGGTCGTTGAGATGTTAAAAAAGCAAGCATACAGGCAATGTGAGTGCCATCACCCCGTTCAAAGTGGTGAAAAATTATGTATAATATTGGCATCAACAAATTTTTCATATTGGATACCACAAAACATCGCGATACAATTGTACGTCTCGGTCTGAGAAAGAGACCCTCCAAGGGCCAGTTTCGCAAACATCGGTTAACTGCTAACCGATAGCTAATTGATTCTCTGTCTCTTCTTAGATAATAAGATGGGAAAAGATAGGGAGCCGACTGAACCCTAGTTAACAGATAACCGATGTTTGTGAAACTGGTCCTAAGTAGGTTTAATTCATAATTTATTGCTGAAGAGGGTCTCTTTCGCGGGTGTACTCGGAAACAGATCAAGCCTCAGTTCCCGCACGTTTTCGGGACATTTGTGAAATACGCATGCGTCTGGTCAAATGAATCGGTTCCTGTGGTTAACTCTTTACTATCTCTATGCACATGCTACACGGAGAGAATTTTCCTCTCAAAATTTATCCTGAAAATCATGCAATTGAGGGACAACGCGGCACTTCGAATGATTTTATGAGGGTTCTCTTTTATTTTACCATACATTCTGCTAGTAATTATACTAGTACACAGTTTACTAGCAAAATTGCAACAAAATCTTAGGTCAGTATTCAGTCAGATTTTATATTTAAGACTGTCTCAAGATCATCCTCAGATATTCCGCAGCCAATGAAATGTTCCGTGTAGCATCTTTAGATAAATTCAAGGCGGTCTTGAATATAAGATCCGACTATAAATATCGGCCTTAGAAAGTTCTTCAAAACGCCACGTTGTCCCACGATTACATGATTTTCAGGGTGAATTTTAAGAAGGAAAATTCTCTCCGTGTACAAACGAAAATCGCCGATGCACGTCTCCCGTCGACAATGTGTTATGCGTCGTCTACAATGCATGGAGTAAGCCTGGAGTAAGGAAATAAATCAATTTTATTTCTTGCTCCTACTCTTGAGCTCTTACGCTTACTCTTGGCGAATCGGACCGCCATCTCTGCCGGTGTTATAAATATTGTAAAAATTATGCCTGTATTTTAGCTTCCTTATACCAAAAGCTAAAAGTTACGGTTTTCTCTTACTCCTTACTCCAAGCTTAGGCCAACGGCACACGATACTACAATATTTTTCTTACCGGTTGCTTACGAGAACCAATAAGGACGCAGAGTTTTAGATCAAGTGACTTAAGTCTAAGTCCTGATTAGGTCTCGCAAGAAATCCAGTAGGAAAAATACTGCACGTATTGTAGACGACGCTTTAAGAGTGCGAGTCCCCGCGCACTTTGTGATCGTTAAAAAGTTCCAAGAGCCTGTCACACAATAGGAAAGCGCAGGCAATAGGAATAGGGGATAGAATTTTTGGGGCGTTGGATTTGTCGGAAATTTTTTTCCAACCAGTTCAACGCGTCAGAAATTCTATTCCCTGGTCCTATATTGCCTGTGCTTTCCTGTTGCGTGAAAGGCTTTAACCCTTTGCACTCCGAATTATATTTCATCTATTTTCATCTATTGGTTTGAACTTGAAAAAATGTCGAGTGAGACTCGACAAAGAAGCTCCTGAGATAAAAACTGATGTCGAGTCACACATAGGACTGCAAAGGCTTAAGGCCCAATCACGTGAGATCAACCGAGTTCCGGCGCGCGTGAGACCCGGTTTTTCCCAACGCCGTTTAACCGTGACCTTATTTTATAATTCATTCCTTGCCTCTTTCCAAGGGGACAGCTAGAAGGAGACAAAGGACGAGCTAAACCAAGATCAAAGTTAAGTAGCATCGGAAAAACCGGCCTGAGTCCCGTCTCGCGCGGTAACGCGATCGCACAGAGAGACATTTATTTTGAGAAACGTTTTCCCCCGGTAAAACGACTTATCGCCGATGTATTGAATTTTTTAAAACAATGCCGGCATCGACGAGATGTATTATCGGATCCTGTTTCGCTCGATTTTCCACGTGGACGTAAGAATATTGTAGCACGTTGAAAACGCACGCGTGCACGGGGGTATAAACTCGCGCGTCGTTTTAATAATATAAATGCGAAATATATAATTCCCGAGGTTGACACGAATACCAGCTTGCGAGCGCGATCGATTCAAATGTTCGATCCCGAAGGTCAGTCGATCAAACGTTTCACGCCGCGGAGCAGACGAGGTGGTCAATTCTGCAACTCACACCATAGTGAAAATGCTAAAAGTGAGTAGTTCTGCCTCTTTCTAATTGTCCTCTTAAAAAAAAGTGGACAAAGCCGCTCACTCTTAGCATTTTCACTATGTCGCAAGCAGGGTTGGGAAGTAACTCGTTACTTGTAACGAAGTTACAGTTGCAGTTACTTTTTTGGCGGATATTCTAACTTCGTCATCTTCTCTCCATCTATAATATAACTTAACTTAACTAATAGCGAATTCGGTTGCTTGCACTAGTGCGCACTGACAATGAGTGCACACCTTAGGCTTGTTTACGGTCAATTCTTATATTTGACAATCATCTTAAATATTTCTTGAAATATTTCGTAGGCGGTAAAATAATCCGTACAGCATCCACGCGGATCGTTTTTTTTTTATAAGTCCTTGAATGTGTATTTAAGTATAAAAATTTACTATAAACTGGCCTTAGTGTGCACTCATTGTCAGTGCGCACCAGCGCGAGCAATCGAATTCGCTACGAGTTACATTTTTTCGATAACTAGTAACTAATTTTATAGTTACTTTAACAGTTACTTTGTATATTTTATAAAACCTCCACAGTTCGCATTAGGTATTGCATTACATTGATGCACAGGTGCCTTTATCGGCGCTTTACGATTCACATGCAGAGATTTGATATTTTTACTTTCATTTCGAGAAAGTAAAACCGCGAAGTAACGATTCGTTACTTTTCGAGTAACCGTAACTGTGACTTGTAACTGTAGCCAGTTACATTCTTAGCGTGAAAACTGTAACTGTAACTAGATACCTTTGGAAAGCAACTTTCCCAACCCCTGGTTGCGAGATACCGAATGGACCCCGTGGTATTTAAACAATCGCGCGTTTTCTTGCACTGCCGATTCCCCCGCGCAAATTCGAGATGCTTTCGCGCTCGTCCAGATCGTATGCGACATTCCTCGAGCACGATTCACTTACATCCACTCATAGAAACAAGATAGGAGTGTCGATTTATTGATTGTGTATTATTTTAATAACTTATTACAGTACTTTATTAAATGTTAAGTTACGGTTTTATCTAGACGCATTTACAGTCACAGATTTGTGTCGCAATGGAAAAATGTGTCGCAGAAAGGTATCGACGATTCGATTTCGCGCGCGCGCGCGCGTGTGTGTGTGTATGTTCGCGTGTGTTTCTCTGTACGTGTGCCTCTGTGTCTGCACTGTGCGTTTCGCTATACATCAGTTACGTATCGCAGTGTAAAAAGGCGCATGATCGAGATGGGGGGAAAAAATCTCCGCCGCTTTCGCCGGGTACGTCGCACCACCGACCGAGTTTCCCAACGGAGATGCGGAGAGAACTAACTGTAAAAATGGGAGTAAATCTTTTCACCGAGCGGCTCTGTGCAGCGCAATTATATATATGTATATTTTTTGTGTGTGTATCTAACAGCAAACGTGCGGGTCCCGTATGAAGAGAGTTCGCCGCGTACCGTCGCCGATCGGCGCGGCGGCGGCTGCCCGAATCGTGTGACGTCTCCTTTCACACGCGTCGAAGACGCACTCGCGCGATCGCGCACCGACGCCCGAGGCCCGCGATAATGCTTAAATGGGAAACCGGCAGTCTTTCTCGCACATTCGTATACAATTAGACACAGTCGCGGAGCAACACACCCTCCCCTACGATCTCACCCCCGAGCTCTCTCGGTCGCCCGGGGTTACCCGGAGGCGACGGCGAATTCTGCCCACGACCTCGCACGCGTCCACGTTCCCCGGGCGAACTTCCGATCGTGCGGCATGAGATCCATGGCTCGTTACTGTTGCTAATCATAAGTTGTTGATCCTCCGGCGCACGCAGTACGGCCGTAAGCACAGTGATCGTACTTTAAGGGAAGAATAAGCGAAGAAAGGGGAGGAAAGAGAAAAGAGAGGGAGCTGGTAATAAAAATAAAAATTAAGAAAAGGTGACAGACAGAGAGAGAGAGAGAGAGAGAGAGAATAAGGAGCGCACGTGTGTATGTGTGTGTGTAAAATGTATGTGTTGCATGGAGCGAAAAGATGTCAACTATAATATTGGAGTTGAAGATGGGTTGCCAGTACGAGATTTTTCGAATACTGTGACAATTGAAGAGAACAGAGGGTGGAAGATAGACAGGGAGAGACAGAGAGAGAGAGACAGGGAGAGACAAGTAGAGACAGGGAGAGGGGGAGAGAGAAAGAGAGAGAAAGAGAGAGAGAGAGAGAGAGTTTAGTAAGTAAATACAAAATGCATTACATGTCATGGTTCTAACGTGGCGATAACATTGTTGATATTAAAACTGTACACACGGTGAAGCTGTCCCGTGTAGCTGGAAATAAACACCCCTCGCTCAAGCTCGGGTCTCTCGGTAAGTCCGTGGGAGAGGGGAGGGGGAGGGAAAGAACGTTTCCGGCGCGGATTGCGAGCGAGGCCGCGCCCGTACGTCATTACGGGCGGGTCATCGTCCGGGTCTCCTCGATCATTTCACCGTCCTTTGGCAGGTGGGGAGATTTACCATGAAGAATACGTTGAGCTCGATCAGGGACGCCAGTATGAGGAACACGGCGTACATGCACAGGCAGGCGCGGCCCACTTTCATGTCGAGCTGAAACTTGTTGGAGGCGAACGCGATGTACAGCAGCATGAGGGTCGACAGCAATGATATCGCGCTGTACTCCAGCCCGCCGGAATTTATACTTATGTAATGCCTGCCGGGCTGCGTGGGCGAGAAGGACGACTTGATCAGCCAGGGTAGTCCGAGGCACAATAGTATATCGAACGTGTTCGATCCTATGGAATTGCTGATGCCCATCGACCCGTGTCCTGAACAGCGTAACGGAACGGTACAAAGTATACGGTGGGAAAAATATCGAGGATGAGCATGGCGAAAATATATGTATACATATGCGTTTTCTCACTCTCCGAGCGTTATCCGTCACTCCGAGATCCTCAACCCCACGTTACTCGCGCGAGGTTGTGAAATATATTCAATTATATTAGAAAAAGAAGACCACGCGACGAACGTAGGATTAACAGCGGACTTTAGGACCTCGACACGGTATACACCTTCGAAATTACCGAGCGCCATTCGCAGCCCCTTGCAGCTCTCGACCTAATTGAATCGCTCTCAACGCGCCCAATGACTTCCACCCATTTCTATCGCGCTGATATCTCGAATTTTGCACTGGTTCGCCAATGCACTCCCGTTACCGCCGTCCCCTACCGTCTCACGAGACACACCGTGCTGAGATCCGGATATGAGAAAAGCACAAATTTAAATTGTTCAGTCGAGAACGAACGACCGAAGATGTGACCTCGTTAAAATACCAAATAGGACTCTAGATGTTTCGACCATTTGAACTTTGAATTTCTCTCTCTACGTTTCTGATTTCGCGACATGGTTTAATTGCTGTTGGAACATGCCAAGGAATGCCTTAAAGTTTAATTATTTATGAGAGACACGTGCCAACTTAATTTCGGAACGACGGAGTGTACAATTTATAATGACGAATTTAATAACTTGAAATGTCTAGCTACAAAATGTCTAACTACAAAAATGTCTAATTATTCACCTGTAACAAGTCCAGATATGGTATTATGAATTTGCTACCAGACTCATGAACCCATTCTGTTTCGACTATAAAATTAAGATGTTCAGGCAAATTTAGGTAATTTTCGTCCATATACATACTAATGAATCTTGTTCTATATTGCGGTTTGAGCACTTATAATGTTTCCAGAATGTACTTAAACATCAATTTTGTCAGTTTGGACGATTTTTAAAAAATTCCTCTTGGTTAATAACTCGATAAATGTCACTGTTAAACACGCGTATCTATCGCCTGACCTTTCTTTAACTCCTATTGTAATTTATTATATGCTGAAGAAGGCACGGTGTTGCCGAAACGCGTACACGGAATTTGATATGCGGTTTTAATATCGCAATTAAATTTTATGCTTCACTAACGAATACCCTAATTTTTACTTGTTAATGCTATTTGACCGTTTGATCTGATAATTGGTTTAAAGTATACCTTGTTTCGCAACAATCACGCTCGACACAGCTTCGGGTACGCTGGTTCCCGCCGCGAGGAAAGTGATGCCCATTACGGAATCTGGTATCTTCAGCGTGTCACCTGTAAACAAAATGCGTTTGCAGCGAAACTTTAAGCCAAAGGACTCAACACGACAGGATGAAGATTCTCTCGTTACAGTTCTCACTTTTCGTCGTTCTTTTAAGGAGGACGAGGTGCTGGAGTTAGACCGCGTTTTTCAATCAGAAAGAGACCTCGACGTGAATTCGATGTCCAAGTTTATCAAATTCGTTAACAACGTTTTGACGTTTAACGCTCGTTTGTGTAATCGCCACTCACCGATTATAGTGATCATCCACGCTACCACGTAGCTGAGCGATCCAATCCATACGATGCACATCAGGAATGTGATAGGGAACCAATTCTTGAATCGTGGTTTCTCGCAATCGGGAATTGTGCACATGAATACCAGATGAATGGGCCATGTCGTGATCCAAGTGGTTTTCCTCAACCAGCCGGCGTGCGCCGGCCACACCAGGAGCTCGTACTCGTAATCTGTTATACAGTTACGAGAATTTCACATTCGACAGATATATCGCTTATTGTTTACGTTTTCTATCAGGGTTTCAAGTGACAAAATTACGTAACGTTTACGTAAAACGTGTCGAGAGAGATAGAGAGAAAGGGAGAGAGAGAGATAGCTTATCAGCCGGGCGAAATTTGAATATTCAAACTCTGATCTTGATGGCTGTTAACTCTCTGGAAAGTCCCATTCACAAGTGCTTAATTGCACTTGACCAATCTAGTGGCTCTCTCGCGAAATATATTACGCATTGCTTCACCATTGTTTGCGAACACTGTCGTCACGCTCGCTGACGCACGGAGGTATCGCCGATACAATTGAAATCGTGGAAATCGATTTGATTAGATTAGACTAGGCGAGTAAATATTCGTGTTTATCGCGTGGACAAGTAGTAAATTCTGCGCGACAAATTGTATCTTACGTAACAAGCAGCTCGTGAACGCTGCGTTGCAGAGATTGTGCTAAAAAAAAAAACCATTTAAAGGGGAACGAACACACTTACTGGGATCCGGATTCTCCTCCTGCGTTTTCGTCCCGCCATTTTGCAGCGGCACGTCGATAGTGGCTATCTGCTCCACACGATCGCCGGGCGATTGCAATTTGTCCGGTCTCGGTAAGTGAATGTCGCTAGAATCTGTGAGGAGCTTTACTTATGAACTTTATATTTTATGCAAGAATCCTGAAGCGCATTGAAGTTCGACTTTTATTCCCTCGAAGTTGCACCACCGCTGATATGACTTTATTAATTTAAACCTTAAAGTTCGATCCTCGGGCCCGGTTTCACCAAACATCGCTCAACTTTAATCTTAGTTCACGGTTGCCTCTTTCTAAACTAATGCTTAGAAAGAGACAAGGAATGAATTAAGCTACGCTTGAGGTTAAGCGACGTTGATGAAACCAGGCCTCAATCGTCACAACCGTGGCCGAAAGGATGACTGGAGATTTTATAAAAAGTAGAAATGCTACACGGTTGAATATGCCTTGTCGATTCGAAGACGGTTTGTTTCAAAGAAATCAAACGAGAGCCGACAATTTGTACACGGAGAGAATTTTTTCTTAAAACTCGTCTTGAAAATTACATATAATCGCGGGACAACACGACGTTTCGAAGAATTTTATGAGAGTTTCTTGAAATTTTACCGTACATTTTACTAGTAAAATGTGTAACTATATATATTAGTGAAATGCATGGTAAAATTTCACAAACTCTCGTAAAATTCTTCGAAATGCCGTGTTGTCCCACGATTATATAATTTTCAGGATAAATTAAAAAAAGAAAACATTCTCTCCGTGCAGAACAAAATTGCAAAACTCAAAGACACGAGGTCGAAAGTCTCACCTGTCGTAACTCGCGGGCCGTCTGAAGATATCTGATCCTCGTTCGTGCGAAATCTTGTACACCGCTGGAACGATTTATCCCAGTACATCACGGCGATATAAACAATGTACAAGAGCACCAGTGTTAACGCTTCGTACCATTCCACCCGCTCGTCGTGTATAATGCATATCAAAATTGCGACCGTGACACCGTAAGCGAGACAATCTCTACTAACAGGCCACCAGTCCAAAGGCACCACCTGTACGAAAATAAATTGTTATTACGCGCCACATTACAATGCAAATATTTAATGATAATATGTGCAATATTCACTGCTATAAGCGCAACATTTATAATAAATAAACCCAAGATTATTACGAAACATATACGCAATATGCTAAACTCATATATAAATAATTCGCTTTTCGTTTAACTTCATGCGGAATTTATGCAATTAAGAATTTACATATTTAAAGGAAATATATATATATATATATATATATAAAAGATGTAAGCATTGTAATTTTAAAACAAGAAGTTTTAAAATAAAATATATATGTATATAACATCGCGCGCTGATATGATACGCATTTTTGACAGTCATTTGACGCACATCCGTATCAGTTCTTAATCAATCCATCAATATCGATTTGATACGTATTATATCTGTTCGATAAAGTCTGTGTGTTGTTACTCATAATGATCTAAATAAAAAAAATTACCGGCGTTCTAAGAAACGAATGCAGTAGCATCGTGAGACACGGAGAAACGGACCTGCCATTTTCAGATTTAACTACATAATTGTTGATATCATTTGCTGGTTATTTAAAATAAGAAGAAAATGCAGGCAGTACAGAATATAAATACACCAACAAATATTTATCCACTTATGAAATCTGTTTTACGAACACACGGGTATATCTACGTCGCATGTATTAAAAAACGTTTCAGGTCAGCGTTCATACCCTACCGGAAATAATTCTACAAACTTCTACAAAACTATAAAATATAACTGTCAGAATCTAAGAAATTCTACGTAAATTTAAAAAGTGTTATAAAAATCAACATGAAAATGCTAGAATTGGAACACTTTTAATTTAATTTTTTTAATATTCTACAAGTAAGCAGACGTTTTAATTCTTTAAGGTTTTGTTGTTTCTCAAATTTTTTAAATTATTAAAGTTTTATACTAATTTTTACAAGGTTGTACGTTTTCATGAAATACTACTTGCAATAATTTCTTGATTTGAGAACATTATAATTTATGGTACTATTTTGTAGATATTTTTACAAACAAATTAATGTCTCAACGAAGATATAAAAATTTCTACAGATTTCAATTTCGAGTCAATTTTTGTAGTTATTTATAAAAAATTTTTCGGCTAGGGTAGTCAGATTTTAAGATCGCCTTGAATTTATCTAAAGATGCTGTATGGAACATTTCATTGGCCATCTACACAGTTGAAAAATTTTTGTTAAATTTAACAGATATCACATGTCCCAAACGATCCACACAAATTTTTGTGTTAATTTAACATAATATGGATATGTTAAATGATTACATTAATACTTTGTTAATATTTTGACACAAAATAAATGCGAATCTTAAAATAATTTAAAATAAATTTTCTGTAAAATTAACATGTTAATGACAAAATGAATTTAAAAAATGTAATTTTTACATTTTACAGATGTAATAAGTTAAATGACGGTTCGAAATCACTCTCACTTATGTTGTATAGAATGAAAGCAACATTTTATTCTGTAAATAGTTAACAGATAAATCTTGTTACTAATAATATAGAACATATGTATTGTGTAAGATTAAAAAATAAGTACACATTGTGTTGTTTTAACCTTGCTTTTCAGTTATTTTAATAATTTTACATTTGAGGTCAATTAACACAAGAGCAATATGTTAAATTAACACGTGAACGTGTTAAACGTTTAACACAAAAATTGTAACCGGCATTTTTTTAACAAGAAAACACAAATTGTCCAATTGTGTAAAGACGACAATAAGATGATCCTAAGTCTAAGATCGCACTGTGAATATTGCCCTTGGACTTGCGCTTATTTTCTCGCAAAAAGTACCCTGCGTATTCTATCCAATGTTACGTATTGTAAATTTTTGGAAGCGTAGTTAAATTTCCTCCTCGTTCCGTTAGATTTCACAAAACTATAGGACACTGTTGGCAACCTACCATTCCCGCACCGATGCCGCAGCAGGCTGGGACAGCCAGGATGTTGAATACTGCGGAACCCACTATCGTCCCGACGCCAATGTCACCTTCCGTGATGAATGTTCCGATGGCATTCACGAATAATTCTGGGGCCGACGTCGCCGCCGCCATAAACGTCGCGCCGGCTACGTCTTTTGACATCGAGAGTGCTGAAACGCAATGTCACATCCTTGATTTACCCTTAAATTTCCACATACATTTCCCGCATACACTTTGCTCGCGGAGTGTGCGCAACGTGCCACGTGCGAATCTTCCTTATGTCGGATCTTTACTAGACTAAAAAGAGGTAGGGCTGGAGGGGAAATTCGCACGCACGAATTCCTCGAAGCTACGAAGATCCCAGTTCGAGAGACTTTTGGCCGAAAAAAAAGGGCGATTCCGTTGATACAGCGAACGAACAATTTTAAAATTCAAAAGCGACACATGCGTCGGGCACACTTTTCCTCTTCGGCATGCATATTCGCCGTGCATTTAGCGAGCGCCGAACAAAAAATGTTCGCTACCGTGGCCAATCGTGATTTGCTAAAAATACTTTGCCGCCGTAACTAGTAAATTTCCAAACTACAGCGAACGGTTTGCTGTTGTCGCACCTAATACAATAGGCGCAGTAGCAAAGCACTCGGCTGCCGCGAACTGAATATCAGCTCTCCATATTTTACAGACTGAAACTTAGTTGCCACTTCCGTTTTCAGCTGCGGCAGCTACATTTTTCTTTCCGCGAGCGAAACGTGACTGTCCGATTCTCATCTCGGCGACGTGCGGCGACATTCCTATTTGCGCAAATTGAACTCGGAGAGCGCGGACGAGTCGCGTCTAGCGTTAAGCGATAATGAGAGAATAACCCCCGAATAGAACAGACGGGTCGTATTTCAAGAAATGCGCGAGGCCAGGACGAGAGAGGGACCGTCACGATGATCGTTGAAAGATGTGCCTGGCGCCCGCAGTGACGCAGATGTGCCGCAGCATGGACATCGATTCGACAGTCGCGCATCCCGAGCGGTTGAAATTAACTCGATATCGCTAAGCGTGCCAGAATAATCTGATTTGATGCGATCTGCGCCCGAGCTCCGTTTCGCGAAGATCGATTGGTATCACCTGCGCCAGCTTGGGATTTTAAACGTATACGCTCTTTAACCTTGGGCGCGCGTGTCACATTTGCCCGACACGCGTGACGCGTTTATAATCCTAGAGTCTATAATCCTAGGAAGGGACAGAGATTTACTTTTTCCAACTGTTGTAATATAACCGGCCTTTATACATCGCGCTGTCGCTCTCCCAGTTCTTAAAATAAAGCGGATACACAAGTCGCTCGAAAGTTAACGAAGTTAGCAAAGTTAAATCCCGGGAACTTAATCACTAAGGCAATTAACGTCAAGAGATGTGGCGCAGTACCATTTAATATTAATTAACTTTGTGATTAAATGTTAAAGTAGAGCTCCGTTAAATTCAACTTGAGATTAATCGAAAAAGAGTTACCATTTACTTGTTAACGTTCAACTATTAATGTCCCCACACTTTTCACCTTTGAGAAAACTTCCATAGGATCTGCGATTGCCTTCGCGACTTTTACGTACGGGTCAAGTGTGATCGATGCTTTTTCTCAAAATTTAAATTCGCGCCGCGTATTTTTTTTTCTCGTGTCATTTCGCGAATTTGTCAAAAGTTTTGCAGAGGCGAAGCCGAACGGCGTTTAGCTAAAAACTTTTCAATCCCCGATGCGCGCGCAAGCGTACAGAGTTAGCGGAGGAAGATGTATAATGCAACCCTTACCGTGACATATTTTTTCTACAGCAGGTACGAAGAATTTATCGCATACTACTGCTAAAGCGATAAATAAATAAAGCGACACGATGACGTGTACGACAACGGCACCGCCTTGTCTTTGCTCTTCATCAAACAAGTCGTGTGGAAAATCTTCTATAGCCGGTGGCGTACAATTTATACCTAAAAACGTAAGTTGTCTTTAAATCAGGTGCACAATAACAACACAATCGTGGCAGTCATTCGCCAGCATTCGCTCGCAACGTTTATTCTCACTGAAACTTTCCCGAAAGCCTCAACGTGAGTGGTTTCATTCCTTACTTCAGCCGCCCCTTATTTTCTCCATCGCGGACAAATTTTATTAGCAACTTTGAATACAAGCGCTCGCGTTCCATGAAAGAGGAGGTGGGGAGGAGCATTGGCCTTACGACGGAAGTGCCTCGAGCTACTTCATCGATATCGCGAGCATTATCATCCGACGGAGATGGATAATTGACGGAGATGGAACGTTTTCCATTTCCCGTGTTTTTCTTTTCATTTCCGTCAAACAGACGAGATCGAAAAATTGCGAGCTTATCGCAAAAAGTCGATACAGCTATTGGGAAGCTCATTACATTTAGACAAGGGCGTCCGCAGGTGTTTTTTTCCAGAGAGGAGCATGATTCAAAATGTCAGGGGAGAGACTCAAACTTGCAAAATTACTTATAAATTCAAGTGCATATACCTTTTGGTATATAAATCTCTTCTCTTTAATAAAGGAAGGGCAACTGCTCAATTTTTTGCTAATTCCAGACGAGGAGGAGGCAAGTGCACCTTAGGCTGGCAATAAATTGATGGTTTCAAACATTTGTCGTACAACAAATGTAACAGTAGCCTAAGGCTGCTATTACATTGTCGTACGACACATTTTTCAGCGTGTTGATTTGCTGCAGGATAGACAAGTTCTCGAGTATCGAGAAATTTTCTATCCTGCAACCAATCAACGCGCTTGAAAAATTTGTCATACGACAATGTAATACCAGCCTTAAGGTGTTATTACATTTGTCGTACGACAAATTTTGCATGCATGTTGATTGGCTGCAGAATACAAAATTCCTAGAGACTCAAGGACTTTTTTTTATTCCGCAGCCACTCGACACGCTTGAAAAATTTGTCGTACGACGAATGTGATAGTAGTCTTACTCTCCTCTGTGGATGTATCTGCATTTAGACGTTATATACCGGAACAACTTTAGCGAGAGCCGCGCATCTTTGAGACCGAATTCCTCGAAGGTAGAGCCTCCATCGAGGAAAACGGATTTATTCCGCGTCCGCCTCTCCGTTGACTTTTTCGCGATCGCCTGGAGGTACGATTTTCGCCGCACCTTGTGCCAATTCGCCCGCCGCATAATACCCGATTCCGGATGTACCGCACCTAGACACAACGAGCGTACGTCGAAATAGATTTTTTATTTTGCGGTTGCGCAACACGCGACACGTACAAAACTGCCGTATCAGGCAAATCGAGCACGCAACGCCGTCGTTCCGATTTACAGGTCGCGATACGCAGAACAGCGTTTTCCCAGCGGCGCGCGTTTCCGACTAATTCCGCGCTCCGCGCCGTTTACGTCACGGTTCGCGAGACGTTAACGGTGTAAAACGTCGCCGTCAATTACGTGTTTGCTGCTTTAATGTAAAGCAGAGGCCTTTTTCCCCGGCCTCGCATGATCACCGCTCATGGGTTAATACGATAAGAGCCGAGGGAAGAGCTTAAAGTTAACCATTATCTTTTTAGAGTCTGCCGGCAGCTCGTTCTGGCGCTAAGAGGGAACGGCGGGACGGTGTGGCGCGACGAGGAGGTAGATCGAGGAGATGGTTACGAAATCGGTATATTAGCACGTACGTTGACTCGCCGAATAGGAACGTTCCCGCTGAAACGCTGAACATGCCGGCACGAAATGTCACCGCGTATGCACGCGGGCAACGCGGACGAGCGACGTCGGCGCGGCCGCGGCGGCGCGACGGTGTGACGGTCCAAATCGGATCGTGTGGTGGTAAGATAACGATACGCCAAGTAGGAAACGTCTCGTTACCGTCCGCCATTACTTCAATTTTATGGAACCGTCGTGTCGTGCCGAATTATTTGGCGAACGGAGACCGCGGAGCGGTTCTCCCCCGCGTGCCAAGGTGGGCCTCGAAGCCGCGAGGGGGACGTGCGCCGTACGTAACGTGCGAAAAATGTACGATTCGTCGCGTACACGCACGCCGAATGTACGCGCGGCCCGCTCGTTAGCGTCAATTTTAGCGAGCGATTTTTTTTAAAGGCGAAACCGTTCGTCGAACACGTTTTCCGAACTGTCCGACTGTCGGACACGCGCGCTGCCCCCTCCGTTTTTTTTTTTTTTGCGAGGACCGATCGATCCCGCTGTCCGATCGCGTTGGCTCTTCCGTCCGGGTGTCACGTCGCGGACTGCGAAAAATGGAAAAATTTGTTTCTATTTTGAAATGTGTCTTCGCTAGACGTCGGAACAGATTTTTCTCCGTCGACAAGCGGCGTTTGAGGGTACATCGATATGTTGCACGTCGGTCTTTGTTGACAGAGAAGCGCGGATTGTACAATTTAGAAATAAATTCCGAATTTGCCCAAGATTTTAGCGAGACCTGCCCTTGTTTCTGAAAAATTGCCAGTTTTGAACTGAAAACGTAACGTAGCTCGGGCTGGAATCTGCCGACGAAGTCATTCAACGAGGCAACGAAATCATTCCGTGAATGCTACACGGAGAGAATTTATTCTTAAAATGTATCCTGAAAATGTAATCGTGGGACGACATGGCATTTCAAGGAATCTTTCTTGAGTTTTTGGAAATTTCACTATACACGCATTCTACTAGTAACTTACACTTATTGTTAGTGCACATTTTACTAGTAGAATGTACGGTAAAATTTCACGAAGCTCTGAAACAGTTGTTCAAATCGTCAAGTTGTCCCACGATTACATGATTTTCAGGATAAGTTTTGGCATTTTGAACAACTGTTTCAGAGTTTTGTGAAATTTCACCGTACATTTTACTAGTAACTATACTTAGGACACATTTCACTAGTAGAATGCACAGTAAAATTTCAAAAAACTCTGAATCGTGGGACAATTTGACATTTTGAACAATTGTTTCAGAGTTTTGTGTAATTTTACTATGCATTCTACTAGTAACTATACTTAGTACACATTTACTAGTAGAATGTATGGTAAAATTTCACAAAACTCTGAAGTTGTCCCACCATTAAGAGATTTTCAGGGTAAATTTTGGCATCTTGAACAACTGTTTCAGACTTTTTTGAAATTTTACTATACATTCTACTGATAACTATAACTATACTTAGGACACATTATACCAGTAGAATGTACGGAAAAAATTTCAAAAAACTCTGAAACACTTGTGCAAAATGCCAAGTTGTCCCACGATTCAGAGTTTTTGAAATTTTACCATACAGTCTACTAGTAAAATGTGTACTAAGTATAGATACTAGTAGAATGTATGGTAAAATTTTACAAAACTCTGAAACAATTGTTCAAAATGCCAAAATTTACGATAAAAATCGTCTAATGATGGGACAGCTTGGCATTTTGAACAACTGTTTCAGAGTTTTGTGAAATTTTACCATACATTCTACTAGTAATTAAGTAAAATATGTACTAAATATAATTACTAGTAGAATGTATGGTAAAATTTCACAAAACTCTGAAACAGTTGTTCAAAATGCCAAGTTGTCTCACGATTACACGATTTTCAGGATAAATTTAAGAGAAAATTCTGTCCGTGTAGGCAAACTGGCAATTAGGCTACTTCGTAAAAAATTCTACCCAAAGAAAACCGTTTATTTAGACAATACTCGAACACTCTATTCTCGAATTATCAATATCGCTCGTTCGTTACAAGTGTTCCATCGGATTACCGCAATGCACGTCTGATCTGGATTATCCTTTTAAAGAATTAAATATCGCCGGCGTAATGGCGGTAAGTTCGTGCCGGATTACCTAATTGCGCCGTCGTCGTGTGCGGAACGACGCGACCGTCGCGTCATAACAGAAGTTAACAGAAATATTTTTACTCGCGTACCTCTTGTATAAAAAAAAAAGTACAAAGTACGTTGCTAATATTTCAACTTTTTCCCCCCTTCCCCCGTCTTTCCCCTCTTCTTCCCTCGTGGAGACGGTCATGCGAACGTGCGCGTATTGGTGCCTCTTACCGGTATATATCGCTATGTGACTGGATGTGACTTCCTACCGATTAAGCAGCCTAAAGAAGTTAAATTGCTCTCATTCAACTTGGCAGAACAGATGCCATTCATGTCTAATGTACGTCGTATAAACGTAGATATATCACGACGACTCAACGACTCTCCCGGGCTCTACGGCGATTCGTTCGGTCGGAAGGGCGCGGCGCAAGCTGCCGGCGCGGCGGACGGTGGCCGATGGACGGATGGACACATAATCAGTTAACCGCCGAATCGCCGATAGCCGGCGCGATGTCCCCGGCAATTATCAGCGTTCCCTTCGCGCCCCCGGCGTGGCCCTTTCGTCCCGCGATTTTTCGCGATTTCACCGCTCTCCCCCTCGGCGACGCGAAGCCACGCGGATCGCGGCCTCGTCGTATCTGTTAAGGCCCGTGTCCACCAATTTTTCAAGCGCGTCGCTTCGCTGCAGGATAGAAAAGTTCTCCGATTTAGAAACTTTCTATCTCGTAACCAATGAACGCGCTTGAACAATTTGTCGTACGACAAGTGTAATAGCACCCTAGGCCTAATATTACATCTGTCGCACGACAAATTTTTCAAGCGCGTCGAGTGGCTGCAGAGACAGAAAAGTTGTCGAGTCTCTGAAAATGTTCTAACTCGTAGCCCAATCAACGCGTTAGAAAACTTTGTCGTACGGCAAATGTACTAGTACCCTAAGGCTGGCATGACATTTGTCGTACGGCATACTTTTACGGAGTAGCTGCAGTTCGATTGGCTACACATTTCTCGAAACTAGAACTTGGACCAAGTCCCAGCGTCGTGGACACAGGCTCTTAGTTAGAGCCACGCTATAATTAAGTACAATGCCGTAGGGCGGGAGGCGTAAACGAGCGGTTCACGTTGATTATCGTCTCACGCGTCAGTGCGTCGCACTTTAAGATACCGCGAAGACAACGGAGCGATTTAATCGATATCGTAAACGAAACGCGTAATGATGAACGATAAGGAGGGGTGAAGGATGTCCCCTTCCTCTGTTTTAAGGTCGATTACATTTTGGGGTCTAAACAAAGAAAGAAGAAAAAAAAACATCGGCTTCCGTTCAGTAGTTTTCGACTGGATTTTATCGCGTTCGCCTGAATTCTATTAACCCGTGTGTCATTTGTATCGATCGAGGGGGGACATTGGATTATACTTTTATCAATTTATAATCGTCATTGTCGTCGTAATCAAGTTAAGCAACGTCGGCGCTAATCGATTACGGCTGCGCCAACTTTTGCGCAACGACTGATGATAATTCGTAATTGATTAATCCGTTATTACCAATGCGCTCTCGTGAGAAATATCCATTAGAAATGACGGGCCTCGTTTCTGACTAATTATTCGAACATTTATCCCCCTCGTCAATGTTCAAAATAGGCGACAAAGCACGTGGACGGGCAGCGACGGATTTAAACTTATTGTAAATCGCGGGTACTCCTGTTTTCACGGCGGCGGGAAGGGACTCTTTCTCTTTTTCGTGGAATACGGTCGCGATCCGTTTGGTTTGTAATGTTAATTTGATTCTGCGATCATGCTGGATAAGTGAACGACAAAGAACGTGTTAGGATGATGGGCGATGAATGAGCGTCATTTTTATTCATTTTCATTAATTTTATGTCGTAACTTAATCAGCAGCTTCAGGCTGTCTAAAGCCCCCCCCCCCTCCCCCCACTCCCGTCGTTCTCTCGGCTCAAACTCTCGCTGGGCTGTAGCTTTAATTAATACGTTAACCACATCGCGAACGCTGCCCTTATTAAAGATCGATGTAACTGTCCACGATGCAAGCGGACGCCTGGCGAGAGCACAATTCGTAGATGAACTTTGAAACGGTTTATATCGTTAATACCCCGCGCTAGTGGACTCAAAATGTGTAGCGAGTTGGTTAAGGGATATCTGAGAAACATCCTTGGAAGATTCAGAAGCTTCTCGGGGACCTTTCAAACGCTTGAATCATTTAATTGGTTTCAATAATCGCTCTCCGCGAAAGTAACGGAATGTGCAATAAGTGATATTCCCGATAATTCGGCAAAAGCTTATCTTCGCATCTTGCACAGCGGGCACATGATTATCGATACCTTGCTAGTGAAGAGGGCAATCTAATTACACTGTGTGGTCGATGGCGATCGACAGGTTAAACTCGAGGCGGAAATTTTATTGGCGCGCGAATTATTTTAATTTCGTTCGATTATTGACAGAAGTAAAACGCGCGCTAGTGGCGCGGCTCGCGCGTGCAAAAATGATTTATCCTTTCTCCAATGGGCCCCGCGTTACTTTTGTACGGCTCCGTGGAAAAACATCGGATTGATTAGTCATTCCATTAAATGCGCAACGTTTATCCGCAATTTTTAAAATAGATGATAAATCGATTTTCGTACGAATGCACGCGCGGTTTATGATTTATTTCGCGCGTAAATAACGGGGGCAAGTGAGAGCGCCGTGCAGCGTAATCAAATATCGTAGAAGCGATATACGCACAAGCAGCATTTCGCCCATAAATAAAATAAAAATGCACCAGCGAAATGTGAATATCATTTATATCTCTCACGTGGAACACATATATTTACTTCGCGAATACATTTCATATGAGAGATTGTAGATTTTTGCAGTGTTTTTTTTTAATCGAGTGACATAAATGAGCAATTCTCTTTAACTTCACGGACAAACGAAACGATCCGTTATTCGCGTCAGTGGACATGACGATTCTGGAAGAAAGGGGAAAGAAAGGAGAGCAGAGAAGAGACAAAATTTTCAGAATATTATGTCTGTATATGCGTAGCGGTGAAATAAAGTAAAAATAAAGCAAACAGGGAAGAACCTTGCCAGCTTTAAACGTAGAATTGAACATCAAGACCGTTCGGGTAGAGTCAAGGAAAAAGAGAGAGAGAAAGAGGGAGAGAGAGAGAGAGACGCAAAGCGAACATGACGAATGGTTAAATTTGACAGACGCAAAAAGGACAAGGAAAGGGGGAGGAGAACAAAGGAGAACGACAGGTGATTTATGTGCATGTCCGTGTGCTCGGGTGTACCTATTCGCTAGCGACTTTGTGCACTGCTACCGCGGGGGACAAGTGAGAGGGATCGTTTGTTACGTATTTTGAACTGAGCACTTGTTCTTCACCAGAAAACGGCCGTACTCCGACGGGCTTTCGTCCGACACACCAATGTCAACGCGAAACATCCTCTAGCCTGCGACTTCCGCACACCCGTCGTCTTCACTCTCGCTCTTCGCGGCGCAGCGCGGCGAGCACCAAAAGGGACGGAGGGCAAAAAGGGAAAGGAAGAAAGTAAGCGCACACCGAGTCCACCTGTGCGCTCGTCCCGCATCCCTTTCCCCGTATCGCTGAATTTTTTTTCCCCCCTTTCTTTCTTTCTTCCCTTCTTTCCCGCGTCATCTCGCCACCGTCCACGCCGTTTCTCTCCCGATTTCCCCGGGATGCGCGGGTCCGCACCGTCCTCGCTACGTGTGCGAAACTGTCTTAGCACGCCGCGGTCTCCCGCGGTGCGATATTATCGAAAATAAGATTCGAACACACCTCCTCCTAGGTCAGTCGTATCCATGTTGTCAATCCCGTTGTCACACACATACTACATTAACATCTACTCCGAAGTCCGACATCGTTTGTTGGAATCGCCCCTCCCTCTGGGCTCTTCTCTCGCGCGTAGCGCCTATTGCTGGATCGTGCCGCATGTAGGTGACGAGACCTCCAGCCTCCAGGCCGACGGGGCCTCCCGAAATTCGCGACACGCAAACACATCCGGCAATCGTCCGCCACTTTCGAGCAATCGCCACGGACATCGGCACATGACGAGCGGGAAGGAAAATACACACGCTCGTATTTCTCTCCAGATAATTTTACAAGCGCACTGTGTGCGTGCGCGCGCGTATGCGTGGGTATTCGCGTGTGCGCGCGTGTGCGTGCATGAGGTCGTTACAATGCTGTGGAACGAGGCACTTTAGTATCAACGATTAGTGGACCGGCACCTCGTTCTTGGTATCGCCAGTCGTGTGCATACGTACGCGGAAAAGAAAATGATGTTGCGCCAACAAGATCGGCTTAATTGAAAAATAAAACCGTCGAAACGGCGTCAGTATTGATGAATAAGAAACGTCAGACAGTTGTCTTAATAATCTGGATGTTTGGTTCAATGCTTAAAATCTAAATCCACAGCAAGTGCAATTGAGCGAACTCTGCAAAAGCCAATCAGTGGACTACCACTGAAAACACAGTGAATGGTCGCTATTTCACAATTGTAAGAATACCGCCGAGAGTCTCAGTGGCATACTTGGAGGGAAGTCCCCTATTATGAGACAGCAGGTTTCCAACGTCCAAATTCAATCGCGAATCTTTCTTCGCCACGATTCTTCACACGATCCAACAATGAATTTTCCACCAGGCAGATTTCGCTCGAGGGGCAATAAATTCATGGTGGACTCAACTGACGAGGTCTATTAATTTAACAGAAACCCCGCTATCTCGTATTAGAATCCCATTTCATAATAGGGGACTTTCCTCTGCAGCTGTGAATCAGTGAGTATTCACTGTTTTCGGTGGTAATCCACTAATTGACTTTTAGCGAGAATTATTTATGATTGTGACAGCCCGTGGCGTTAACGTTTAATTCAAGCTGCTTCATTTTGTTTTATTTAACAGCATTTTTTCCCGTGTAATCCCTTCGTAATTGCAAATATTAGTACAACCGAGCAAGTTTTCCACTCGACCATGTAAGTGTAATGCAACACATGTTGTTCATAACAGTTTCATTGTTGAGCAGGAAATTATAATATCAACGTTGTGTAACCGTTAGGTGGTTTGTTTACTGCAGGGAGTTATACGAACGTGTAATTTTGGAGTAACTGAGTATCGCGATTTACGAACGATCTTCCGATTTGTACGTTCCTAGGTCTTGTCGAAAGTTTCCTATGAAGAACATCATCGTAATAAATCAATAAAATTCGTAAGGCTCTCATGTGGTAAACACCAATTCGAAGGAATAAAGGCCGAAGAGCCGTGATGTTAGTGTCTAAATATTTCTTACTTTTTCATTTATTGCGGACAATATTATCTCAGCCTGGGTTTGAACCTGGACCTGCCTCTCGCTAGGCTGGCGTCTCACCGTCATTGTTGTCATAGTTGAGATCTTAATATTATAATTTTTATTAACATTATAAAAGTTATTTAAGGGGTCGTTCCACTTTAACGGCCCAAAAACTATGCTCACCTCACGGACCTCAATTAAGAATTTTTTATTTAAAAATAACAAAAAGGTGCCAGTTTGAAAAAAAGTTTTGAAAAGTACTTTTAAAGATTTATTTCATTGCATGGTGTATTTACTGAAAAAACTTCACGCGGAAAATAGCTGTTAAAGATAAGCATAGTTTTTGGGCCGTTAAAGTGGAATGACCACTTAATACGAATTTTTTTTACTGCTATTCTAACGACAAAGTTTTGATTAATAAATACACACAAAGCAGCATCCCTAAGCTTCTATTGCTCGTGCGTTCGGAATGTTCGACACCCCGCTCGCTTTTTAAATCTGTATAATTATACGTGGATCGCATAAACGTATGCAGATGCACGTTTAAAACTGATGGTGAGCGAAGGGCTATCATAAAATAAGATTAAATTGTCCTGTAATTACGATATTCATTCGATGCGTTCTATCCTGGGGGCCTAAGAGACTCGAAACAATCGCGGGGGGGGGGGGGGAACTGAGCGCGAGTAATTAAAGGTTAAGAAGTGAAATCTAATTGGAGGACTCGAGCTCGAGGGTCTCGAGCTTAGATTGTGTTATACATTCACGTGTGTGTATCAATTCGCCTGGTGCAAACGCACCAAACCGCCGTGCTGTCTGCGTGTTGATTTAGCGCGTTTAAGTACCTCTGCATCTACACCGGTGAATCTGCATTAGAATTAACACGCGCGACACTTATTGCGTTACTTTTTATCAGATTGTCTGGCTCTTGAAATAACTGGGGCGTTTCGCAATTAAGCTCTCTCAATTATCAGGCCGCCTCGCGCGCTCATTATGCGTTATGACTTTAATAGACATTTTTTATAAATCCAACAAATCATAAAATGCAATCGTTAATGAACTTCTCGCTTCGAATTTTAATAAAGGAAATGGGAATATCCTACGTCATTATATCGGACATTTTACGATAACAATCGGGTAATACGAATATTACAGCATAAAAATTGGGTCGCGGGAGTAGGAGTTTCTTGAAATATTCTACGGAATTCAAAAGGAAATTTATGCACGGAACAAGATGCTGTTGAATTTAAAAAAAATTGAAGTTGCTTGAATTAAACGTAAACGTCACGGGCTGCCACAAACATTGCTATGGAATTTAATTTTAAGCATTGAACTAAATATCGAGACGATTAAGACAACTACCTGATGTTGTTGCAACGATCTTATTTCAATTGCGCTGATCTTATTGATACGTCCTTTTCTTTCTGTGTGGTTTTCATTGCAAGTGTAAATACAAGTACGGGAATTGCAGCGCAAGGCAAGATAAAGAAGTGTAATCTATTAAAAGATAGCTGTAAGTTTTAAAGTTTATCGATTATTACGATGATATTACCAAAACCTTGGTCTTATCTAGATCTACAAATTCGGATCTTGTATTCTTTAAACGGTCGTTTCCATTGCTGGATACGTCATCGACTAACTAAGTAATATCAAAACACTCACGTCGATACTGATTCACGATAACAACGTAAACATTTGGTCTATGTACGGTACTGGCATCAGTTTATCATTGCATACGTGTATAATATCGTAAAATCCATATATTTTTTATCGTGACGACGAATCTGTTTTGATAAACTAACTGAATAACACCCCGGTGAATTTTGTTACATCCGCAAAAAAAGTATTTGTGCATACAAAAATTGTAGTTATTTTGTGACGTATAAAAAAGCATAATTTACGTTGTAAAAATTTTTCATATACATATAAGATAACATTTATATATTAAAACATATCCATACACGTTTGCTTTCTCTCACTTTCTTGTGTACAACTTATCTTCGTATATAAAAGAAATAATAGCAAAAATAATTGAAAAAGAATTAGAAAAATTACTTTTTCTTTTGTTGCACGAATTAAAATTGCGATTAAATTATATAATATTCCATATTTAATCAAATATGTGGGCAGGTTTCTTTCATTTTCTTAAGCTTCACTTTTTGTCAAGGAAGAAACAAACGATGCGAGAATCATCCTTTTAATTATTTGGAAAGTATCCGTAATGCCGTACGAGAGACTTTTAAATAATAATTATTCGCGTATCTCTTCTGTAGTTCACATCATTACAGATATCACTCTTGTGTAAAGTATATCGCATTACGTAATACGAAGTGTTTCCCAGCAAAAGTGAACATACCTAGAATACATATAGATTTTTATTACAAAGCAGTATCGCAAAGCATTTTTTCCGATTCGTTTGATTAATCGTTATATATATTCGTTGTTCAGTTGTAACGGATAAAAAACGGTGCCACGAGCAAATAAGAAAAGTCGACACGCGCGATTAGAAAACGACAATGTTCTCCACTTGTAAAGAGAAAGAGAGAGAGAGAGAGAAAGAGCGAGAGAAAAAGAGGGAAACAAGGGTGGCGAGGAGAAGACGAGGGGAGACTCAAAGAAGACGAGGGAAGACGAGGGGAGACGAGGAGTGACAAGAGGAGACGAGGGGAGAGACAGGGGAGACGAGAGAAAACGAGGGGAGACTCAGGGGAGATGAGGGTAGGAAGACGAGGGGGAGACGAGAGAGAGACGAGGGGGACAAGGGGAGCTGGGGAGAGACGGGGAGAAATAGTAAGAGACAGGGGAAGAAAGAGAGAGAGAGTGATTTTAGTATGTAAATACAAGAAGCATTACATGCCTTGGTTCTAACGTAGCGATACAATTGTTGATATTGAAACTACACACTCGGTAAAGCTGTCCCGTGTAGCTAGTAATAATCACCCCTCGCCCAAGCTCAGGACTCTCGGTAAGTCCATAGTAGAGTGGAGGGGGAAAACAAGACGAAGAAATATGAAAAAAGAGAAAGAAAAGGCGAGAGAAGAAAGAAAAAAAATGCGAGAGGATCGCGCGCGAGTCTATTCGATCCCACGCATAGGAACTCGATTCGCGCGTGCTATCATCCTACGATCTGCGGCGGTAAATTCGAAATAAATAAATTGTGAATAAACGGCGCGGTTAAAAACGGCCTGTTTCGTAAATTCGCCGTGCTCAAACCAGCTCGATCGAAGAGTGTGGAATAATAGAAGGACAGAGAGACGTTTCGTCGATCGAACAAATCGACGAGGTCGTGTCGCCGCGGCCGCGATACGCAATGTAAACCTCGTCGTCGTCGAAAGGCACGGCCGTCGCTCGCAAATCAGCCAAGATCTTCACGTGCGGACGGAAGAAACCACGACGGGGACCGATCAATGGGAACTTTCCTGCCGTCTTTGAATCGAAGGTACGCGATTGCTTTAAACCGTATCTTATCAGAGTCGCCGCGCCAGTCGCGATAAGTCCGCGACGAGTGAAAAATATAAGCGTGCAGTCAAACCCTACGTGCCGGATAAACGGCAGATAGCCGGCACGCGTCGTGTGATCGAGAGAATTTCTTAACTCCGTCGCGTCTCGCGTCTCCCACGTATCTTCGCGCGTATTACCGAGGAAGGACCAGCGGCTCCCGCGCACGTTTTTACGTAACGAAGGATGGTATGGCGGCGCAAGCAGACGGTCGGATACCGGATACTTTTCGTTATTACTATACCAGCTACGTACTTTTTTTGCGTCAGTTTAACGGGACTGTTATCTGACAGTGCGACAAATGTCGGCCACGCAGCGGACTGGCGTGAGTATATCAAAGTAATTCGTCCCTCTTCGCTTTCCAGGGCGTCCGCGGGAGCGAAGGGTGGATCGTTCAGTGGTCGCGCCAGCGTAACAATTTTAGAAAGACGAAACGAAGACTTAATTAAAGGACATATATAATAGAAAGGCTTGTGGCGGTCATGCTGGATCTCTTAGTGCCCAATACTTTGCGTATACATCTTTTTTTTAGCAGAGCAATTGCGCGCCGATAACTTTTTCGGTCTTGAAGCACGGTATTAAACTAAAGTCGAAATAACTGATTAAATTAACTATCATTAATAATTATACCAATTATACCAATAATTATACCAATAATTATACCATGCTTCAGAAATAATCGGAAAATAACTAATTATCATCTAAAAATTTAACTTCTCTCTCTCTCTCTCTCTCTCTTTCTCTCTCTCTATCTTTCTGTTTTACATTTTTGTAAAATTGACGCCGTCTTTCCCCTCAGGAGGACGTAGACTGCTGCAGGCGAGCGAGCCCGAGCTAGCGGGGAACGACAGTTACAACTGCACGCCGCCGGCGATCAAAGAATTCCCGCCCGACGGTCTCACGCGGCAGCAAAGACAGGCAGGATTCATAATAATCCACTTCGTCATCGCTATTTATCTGTTTTTATTACTTGCCATTGTCTGCGACGACTATTTCGTTCCCTCTATTAAGAAAATTTGCGAGAGTGAGTACAAGAAGATCGTTCGGTACACCCACCGTTTTCTTTCACGTGACCTTAATATGACCTCACTGCGGCTCCTCTCTCTCTCGTTTCGCCGACGAGCGTAAGACGTTTTGCAGTTTGGCGTATTATGTCGTGCGTTATCACACTTATCGCCCGCGCATACCTGCCGTTTGCGCGTGCAAATGTCTGGCAGAAACACCGCCGAGTAAAACGAAACGAAATGTCCCACGACAGACCTCAGTGTCACCGAGGATGTGGCCGGCGCTACCGTAATGGCGGCCGCGAGCTCGAGCCCGGAATTGTTCATCAACGTCATCGGTACCTTCGTGACGGAGGGTGACCTGGGGGTTGGCACCATCGTCGGCTCCGCGGTCTTCAACATCCTGGCCGTGCCCGCGTGCTGCGCGCTGTTCGCCAACGAGGTAAAGATTGATCTCCTCCCGCGTTCGCTTTTCCCCGCGCAGTCGCTTCTTATCGCGCGCGATCTTGTCGAATTCGCAGGTGCTGAAGCTGGAGTGGTGGCCCGTGTCGCGCGACTCGCTGGCGTACGCCTTCACGGTCCTCCTCCTGATTCTGACTCTGTGGGACGGACGTGTCGAGTGGTACGAGGCGCTCATCCTCGTCGCCTGTTACATTCTGTATATATCAGGTAACGAATCGCAAAGCGAATGGCGAGGGGGAAACCGCTGACCAAAATCTTGTACACCAATATGCCCACTAATGCCCACTGGGCATTACCTTATCTTATTATTTTATTTTAACTTATTTATCTTGTCTTATCTTATTTTATCTTTATAATCCCCCGGCAAGGCCTAATGCCCAAACCCAGATAGCACACATGGTGCTATGAATATTCTTCTGGAGTGAAAATATTCTTAATTTCAGAATATTGATTGTTAGAATTAGAAATCGTATATTCATAGCAAAGAAGAACGTTTTTAGAATATTCGTCGAGAATGTCTTTGGAAAATTTGTTGAAAATAATTTTTTAATATTCATCGAGTTTATGCATCGTACATCGTTTATTGTGTAACGCGTTTATTTTATGCAAAAGGCAGTGAAACCTGTGATCATACCATGTATAACCGACACGCTATATTCGATAGATTATTCTAGCCACATTCGAGAAAGATTTACAGTGCCAGTCGAATATTCCACGAATATAAAATAAATATGTAAGAATGACCTATGGAATACTCCAAATGCTCTTGAAGAATATTCTTAAAATATGTTCATAGGAGTGTCTTGTGCTATCTAGGAAGTAATGCCTAGAAAATGCCTAACAATGCCCAGTAATGCCGCAAATCTCTACACCACAATGCCCTCAGCGGTTTCCCCCTCGGCAAATGGGCCGCGGAAGGCCCGGAGAAACTATAGTTCTTAGTTCACTAGAAGCTAATATCCACCGTCCCGGCGAAAAAGTTTTCATACAGAAACAAAGAAATATAATTATACAACGAGTATGTACTCGTATATAAAATATGTCCGTGTATGTTTCTTCTCTTGTATAATCTCTGTTCGTATATGCAGGATAAAATAAGAAAGATTTAAAAGGATTATTTTTGCATTTTTTTTTTGTAAAAAGTGAAGTTTGAATAAATTAGAAAAATTGCCATGTGGTTATATACAGAATATTGTATAATCTAATCGCAATTTTACTTTTTGTAAAAGGAACAATGCAACGTATGCCTTTTTAATTGTTTTGCAATTGTTTTTCTTATTATTTCTCCTAAATGTATATGTATATGGGAACACAGATTAAACAAGAGGAAAAAACCACGTGTGGACATTTTTTTCCTCTTGTCTAATCTTTTTACCAAGAGCCTGTACTTTATTTGCATTAACTGTTTTAAAGCGCAACAGATTGAATAACATCGCTAAAATTGTTTGCTAAAAAGAACATCGCAATAATTAGGACGCTTGCATTTTCAGCAATGTGTTTCAACCGTCGAATCAGCAATTTCGTAAGACGAATAACGTCTAGGAGGAAAAAATATAGAAATATCTGCGAGGAGAGTCCGCTCCTGCCGAATCGTAAGATCACTGCAATATAATTATTATCGCCTCTGCAAAAATAAGTGAATTAAAAGGAATTGATGCAATTTCATTCTACGTGGTATCACGAACTTTTGATCTTCGGAAGTCAGACTTTGCTCTCAATACTTTCAAGTTCCTTTCTGTGAAAACGAACTTTTCTCTATTTATCTTCCAGCAGTTGCGTTGCTGCGATGTAACCCGCGCGAACTCAAGACAAAAACATATTAGAAAATGAACCAATTTTCGATATTGATATACCAGAAATAGAAGTAAAACGGTAGGAAAACCGGTAATTTTTAAAGCGAAGGTCTGACCTCGTGGATTAAGAAGTTCGCCGCAGAATAAATCTCCGTCAGTCCTTTTTAATCCACGTATCTCTTTGCAGGGATTGCGTTCGATAACATACTCGTAAGAAATGTAATCTCATGCTTGGCTATCTTTCATTCCAAAACGAACAGATCTTGTCAAGGAAACGGAGATATGTGGAGTTAATTTGATCGAGCAGGACGAGTCACGTATGTATCTGTTGTGCAGAGCACAACATATCGCTTCTGCACGAGAAAAGTGATACAAGTCAAAAAAATTGCAATTTTACGGGAGAACGATTTCAAATTTTCAATCTGCTTGCAGATCGTACACAGTTACAACCTGGTCTGCTAAATTGTTTTTTATCTTTTTCTCGCCTCGATAGATCTTTCTTCTCATGGCGGGAGAATCATATCTTTCTTTTAAACACTCTTGCTCTTTGTCATCACTGTTTTTAAACGAAATATTATACATTGTTCGCATCGGTTCCTTTTCGGACGAAAATATTTATAACATACACTTATGTATCACTCTTGGTGAATAATTTTTGCAACATTAAACATTTGTGACTTTTTAGTTGAGATCGTAAACATGACAACCTGGCCGAGTTCTACGTGCGAGAAGATATGGTGGGTTATCACTTGGCCCATCAATCTGGCATTACTCGTTACTATTCCCGACTGTAGGAGAAGGAAGCTGAGATCGTGGTATCCCTTAACGTTTCTCATGTGCATAATATGGATCGCGACTTCGTCCTACATTGTTGGATGGGTCATCACTACTATCGGTACGTGCGATCAATTCTATTAAACATGAGTGCTAATTTTCTTGGTCAGTGATTAAATACCAGGATTGGGAAAGTTACTTTATAAAACAGAGGAGGCCCGTCAGAACATCGACGGACCTATGTGGGGGGCGGGCGGATGTTATAGCTCTGCTGATTCCCGGCCGTCCCCCAACCGAAGCTACGCGCAGGCTACCGCAGGAGTTTAGTGGGTAAGCCAGCGCGCCAACTTCATCTTGGCGCGCATCTCGTTAGATAGAAGGGCAGTCAAAAATGTAACTGTAGCTGTAACTTCGTTACAAGTAACGAGTTACTTCCCAACCCTGGTAAATACCCATACAGCACGCATGTCTAAAAGACGTGATTAAGACGTCTTTAAGACATACGTGTTGTTTGGGTAGTAGAACAAATGTTATAATATTATTCGACTGGACCTGGCAGAAATTTTATTGCAAAAAGTATGCCAAGGTAATATGTTTCGCAATAAAATTTCCGCCAGGTCTAGTCGAACAATATTACTTGTTCTGCAATTCTATTAATGTCTGTATTTTAATTAACATTTGTATAAACGCCAAGTTCGTCGGAAATAGATTTTACAAATTGCTGCTACACTGCCGGCCAAAAGTTTGAGTTCATTAAGTAAAAAAATCTACTATATGAAATAAAATTGAATCGATTCGTCCCTTCCGCAAGGCCGTATCTCGATTTTACACAATTCCCGGTGTTTCTGTCTAAATGCTTATTCTGGTCTTAAATAAACGTCGAAAAATTGCGTAAAATCGAGATACGACATTGCAAAAGAGATCAGTCGTTATGTATTGGAATATTTTATGTGGTTATTTTATTATGGTATGATCACAGGTTTCACTGTCTTTTGCATAAGATAAGTGCACATTACACAATAAACAATGTGCAATACATAAACTCGATGGATATTAAAAAATTATTCTGAACAAATATTCCAAAGACATTCTCGGCGAATATTCTAAAAGCGTTCTTCTTTGTTATGAATATACGATTTCTAATTGTAATAATCTATATATTTATAGAATATTCGATTGGAATATTCTGAAATTAAGTATATTTTCACTCCAGAAGAATATTCATAGCACTATGTGTACTATCTGGGTTGTCACGAAACAACATCTCGAAAATGTAAAAAAATGCTCGTTATTAAAATTCCTCAAACGTTTCTTTAGAATCCAGCACTGTTTAACGATTGGTAGCTCCTGCTTTCGTTATAATTTATGTTGTATTTCACGTTTTAGGCGATACGTTCGGGATTCCAGATTCTATCATGGGATTAACGTTCCTCGCGGCGGGAATGAGCGTGCCGGAAGCAGTATCGAGCGTTCTCGTTGCCAATCAAGGTACGGTAAACGCTGATAACGCTAAATAACTGATCCGATCGCATCCGAGACGAGGATCTCGCGTGAATTCCCGTTTCGTCGTGTCTTCAAATATAGATCATATGTGACTTTCCAGGTTACGGAGCTATGGGAATAAGTAATTCGATCGGGTCGAATGTGTTCGATGTCTTACTCTGTCTCGGACTGCCATGGTTCATCAAGGCCGCGCTGTTACCGAAAGTACCCGGACAGTATTATGTTCAGATCAATTCTCAGGGATTAGTGTATAGCTCAGCATCTCTCTTTTCTACGTTAGTTATCTTATATGGAGCTTTATTTATTAACAAATTCGCGTTGAGTCGTACAGTCGGCATCGTCTGTCTCGTTATGTACGCCGTATTTTTGATATTCGCATCCGTTGTGGAGCTCAACACGTTTTTCGTTGTTAATCTACCGACATGTATCGACTAGAGCAACAATATCGGTGGCGTTAAAACGTAAGACGATACTTATACTCACTGATATCTGTGAATGTTTGTACGCCACAGCGAACTCTTACTTAATACGTTTGTACATTTTGTCTTACGACAGAGCAAAAGTATCTGAATATATTAAGTATTAATTAATTAATATATCTTATAAATAGTAGCTTCGGTAAAGTCCTTACATATGTAATTATTCATTGCACTGTGTAAAAATTGTATCCTGAACTTTTATACTTGTTTATTTCGCATGTATATACTATATAATGAATAGTAATCTAACTTGATCATTAATATGAATCTAGCTTTTATACCTGATACGTTAAAAACTTTTAGAGTGTAATGAAGTCATATATCTTCATTGTCAGCTTGAGCGAAAGAGCGTCATGGCTCCTGTAAATTCGAAACTTTAGAAAGTCATTACAAACAGAACCACAAAAGAGAGTAAAACGAAATAGTCCTGTTAGCATAAAAATACGCGTGCTTTTTCATCAAGTACATCCAAGGATGATTTTGTCACGTAATTAGACGAAAGTGAAAAATAAATCTCTGAAACATTTATCTATCAAATTAAATAAACACAACCATATGTGGTCAGAATCAGATTTCCGATTCTATCCCAAGTAGAAAGACATCAAGATTTACTTTGCAACGACTGATTTATGACATACTGTTTTATGATATTCGTGATATACGTGTATAATAATATATTATTACGCATTACATGATCAGTCATATATTACGCTTATCTTATATTACTTCAATTTATTTTTAATGTATATTTAATTAACTTCGCTTTGTAAAATAAGTTCATTTTTACAACATTTGGACGTCTTAATGATGTCACAAATACGTGCTCTTGGCTATTTTGACGTCACCATGATGCATAAAAAATGATCAAAAAATGATGTCATCTTGATGTCTTCATGGCTAATACGTTCTACTTGGGACGCAACATGGTTTGAACCCATTCAAGTGGAATTATTTCAGCATTACTATCCCCACATTGAGAGATTGGAGATTAGATATTTAAAAAGTATAAGCAAAACTAAAGCTACTCGGTATGTATTTCAATTAGTTTTATTTCCCCGTTTATTTACTTGGAGGCTCATGATAATTGTCCGCAGTCCGCTATCATGATCTTCTGATATGTCTTGCCGGTCGACGAGCCGAAACTTTCAATTTTTCTCACAACATCCATGCCGTCGAAAACATTGCCGAACACAACGTGTTTATTGTCCAGCCAGGGTGTCTTTATCGTGGTGATAAAGAACTGCGAGCCGTTCGTATTCTGGCCGGAGTTCGCCATCGACAGCGTGCCCATCGAGGTGTGCTTGAGCGCGAAATTCTCATCCTCGAATTTCTCCCCGAAGATAGACCTACCACCCGTGCCGTTGTGATTCGTGAAGTCGCCCCCTTGACACATAAAATTTGGTATTATACGATGGAAGTAGCTCCCCTTGTAGCCGTAACCCCTCTCCAACGTACACAGGGCACGAAAGTTTTCCGAAGCTTTCGGCACAACGTCGATGCGCAATTGTATCACGATTCGTCCCAATGACTTTATCCTCCACGGAAACGTCAAAGTACACCAACGGCAAGTTCATTTTGTTCTTGCGACCATTCATCGAGGTGTAAGAAGCTAGAACGAAGCCATAATGTAAATTATTGGAAAAATCGTTTGTTTTACAATTGTTGTACAATTGTTGTAAAATTCGTGTGACCAAAGATCCAGCTAAGTTTCAATGAGCTTTGCTCTATCTTGTAATATTTATATATTACTTTTATTCGCTTACACACAGTGCCGACGGATTTACATTCATTATAGAAATTATGAATTTATTTCTCGTTGTTTTGAACCGACGCGATTGTTCTGTATACTTGATTGGAATTTGCCTTCTATATATTTACCGTGCGTAACCTCTTTTCCTTCTTCTCCTCTTAGCTGTTTATTTCTTCAAATACGATGTAATCCTTTTCTCTCGCAGTTTCCTTTAATCCGAGTTTCGTTGTGACTCGGATCGTGTCGCAGAGCGTTTGAATCACCACATGTAACTGCCGAATAATCATTAGTACGTATTATTTTGTAGCTCCACGTGCTTT